CCGCCGCACTCGGGCCGGAGCGCAGCGCTGAGCCGCCGCCCGCGCGCCATGGAGCAGTGGCGGCAGTGCGGCCGCTGGCTCATCGACTGCAAGGTTCTGCCGCCCAACCACCGGGTCGTGTGGCCCTCGGCCGTGGTCTTCGACCTGGCGCAGGCGCTGCGCGACGGAGTCCTGCTGTGCCAGCTGCTGCACAACCTGTCCCCCGGCTCCATCGACCTCAAGGACATCAACTTCCGGCCGCAGATGTCCCAGGTGAGGGTCGGTGCGCGGGCCGGAGCGCGGGGGCCAGCTGGGGACTCACGGGAGGCAGGAGCGCGGGAGATGGGGTGCCTGGGCTTGGGCCGGCTTCTCGAGCGGCGACGCCGGTGGCACGAAGTTGGGCAAAGTCCCCTGGGTCCGTAGCCTGCGGGCTTCCCGGCCTGCGCCTCCGGGCGTGGACAGTGACTCCGGCCCGGGGCGCGCCCGGCACTGCGCCCCCTTCTGGGCCCGCACGCTTGGCCCCTCCAGTGTCCTTCGCGTCCCGGGGGGCCCCCCGCTCTGGTGGCCACGGGCTTCGCCCCTAGTGGGCCGAGCCGGCGGGGACCGAGCGGAGCTCGCACAGCGCCCACGCCGGGGCGCGCGGAAGGGGCCGGGCGGGGCGGGGTCTTCGGCCAGGGGGTGCTGGGGGGGGCAGGGCGCCGCCCCCGGCTGGGTCTCGCCCCCTTCTGGCCAGGGCTGGGGGCGAGCCACCCCCGTGGGGAGTCCCCAGCGCTTCCTTAAGTGTGGCCTTTGTCGCTGCAGAGGCACGCGGTGGCCGCAGGGCCAGGGAGGAAAATGTCCGCTCCGCTGGCCGCAGCTGCTTTTCTTGGCCCTTTAAAGGGAACTTGGGTGAGAGTTAAGTGGAATCGTGGCTCGTGGGCTCCTGCCCAGCGCGCTTTGAAGGGATCCCGGAAGGCAAAGGGGGGTCACCCCAGTCCCAGCCCAGCCAGTATGGCGAGGTGCTCCCTGCCCGCCGGGTAGGTGACCCCTGTCCCAGCACCCAGGGCAAGCCCGAGTGGACAGCGGCCATTCTTGTGGACTTCGAGTATGAAGTGAGTCACCCTGGATCCTGCAGTTCTAGCCGCACTAGCCTCTGCCCTTCTTGGTGTCTGCCTTCCTGGGCGGTTAGGGCCCTGCTCCAGGGTGGATGACAAAGGGGAGCCCTGCGGGGGAAGGAGAGAGGCGCCCCGAAAAGGGCCAATACTCCAGGGCTCAGGCCCACCCCTGAGAGGGAGCCTGCAGGGCCTCAGTGCTTGCCTGCAGAGTCTCGGTGACAGCCTGGGGTCAGAGTGCCTCGGCGGAGCTCTGCATGCTTCTCTGGTGTGTGCTCACAGCTGGAAAGACTCATCCTACTGTGGCTGGAGCGAGGGCGGCTGCCCGTGGCACAGCTGGGCACTGACTGCAAGGAGGCTGGGGCCGACAGAGGCCGGGGTGGGTGGAGGTTGGGAGGAGCTCAGCCTGGCCTGGGGGAGTTCTCCTGCTACCCCTCCCAGCTGGGGTTTGTGAGGGGAGAAGGAGGAGGGGAGGAGGAGGAGGAGAGGATGAGGAGGAGGAGAGGAGGAGGGACCCTGGCTGTGGCAGGAGGCTCAGATCAGTCCCTGCGCTAGAAGTTCCAGCCAGAGACCTCTGAGGTGGCAGCAATCAGCAGTCCTGGCACCAACAGGGTCCCCTTGAGCCCCCAGCCTGGCCCCAGGATAGCGGTGCTAGGGGGCTAGGGAGACTCAGATGGGCGTGGGATCGTGGGACCACATGCTGTCATCAACTGAATGCTGGCTGTTAAGGCCCATCCTGTAGGCAGCATGTTCAGGGCCTCAGTTTCCCGCCTGTAGAGATGACAGCTGCAGTCCACCTTGTAGCTGTGGTTTGCTTAGGGAAGGCTCCCAGTGTTCTTGGCGCAGTCAAAAGGTTGGGGCCCTCACCTGGACACTGGGTGCTGACACACTGGGTGCAGGGACACTGGATGCCACCCTTGTGGCTAAGGCCTGACCTCGTCCTCGGTCCTCTTGTCTTCGCGGAGGGCGGAGTCAGTCCCATTGGTCTTTGTAACTCCTTGCCAGCTCAGGAACAGCAGCAGGTGACCAGGGTGGGCCAGATGACCCTACGTGCACACTCACAACAAGACGAACAACTTCCTGGGCCGCAGAAGGCTGCACGGAGCCGGCCGCGGGAGCTCACGCCTCTCTGGCTGGCTGCCCTTGGCCATGTAGGAAACCCACGTTTCTTTGAGGGGAGGGCAGGTGTCAGATGTCATCTCTGTCCACTGTGGGTGGGGCACAAGGAAAACACAGCTGCCTTCTCACCTGTGCGGCCAGGACGCTGCAGGATCCCACAGGAGGTACCACCCTGATTTGCACGTGGGACAGTTAAAGTGCTGAGAGTTTGAGTGGCTTGCCCTCGCTCACCCTGGTAGTAAGTGGCAAAACTAACAGAGGGGCCACTGGGATGTTTAAATAAATCCCGACTTCAGGAGCCTTCCCGAGCTGTGTCTCGCCCTGCTGGCTTTCTGACTTTTGGTCTTGCGTGGTTCCTGCCTGTTTCCCGGGGTGGCTGGGGTGGGAGGGGCGTGTGGATGCTCTGCGGGGGCCCTCTCTGGGGCACACCTGGCTGTCCCTTTCTCCCTGCTGTGGTGGTGCACAGTGATCCGTCCGGCTCCGAGGCCCACTGTGTGTTACCTGCTAGAACGCCACACGGCTTCCACAGCGACATCCTGTTTTCTGAGGATTTGGAGTTCCCCTCCCGCTTTGAGTTTATCTCAGCTGGGTAAATGGCCTAAAGGAGCCTGATAACGTGCTGTTACTGAGCAGCTGCTGTGCTCAGGCCTGGGTACCCGGAGATGGTCACGGAGAGGCCCCCTTTACCTGCTTTGTTGTGCCCTCCTGGAGCCAGCAGGATGCGCTTTATTTGTTCAAAGTGCCTGGAAGCCACCTTGGGCTTAATTAAACTAATTGGGGGTGGCCACAATCTGCTGATCCTAAGAAAGGCCCAGCGTGTCAGGGGTGCCCATGCCAGCAGCCAGCCTCGAGTTTTCTCCGTGGTGGCCGCTTCAGGGGACAGCCAGCTCGGTCATGCCCACGTCACCCTGGTGTCCTTCTTCCACTGAACCCTGGTGGCTTCTCTGCAGGGACACAGCAGAGCAGCCTGGGCTCATAGCTTATCCTGTGGCTCACCCTCCAGCCTGCCTCTTTTGCCCCCTTTTGTGTCTCTTTTCCATCATTGTCCATCAAGTGCAGTGCCCTGTCGGAGAGGTCTGCCTGCTTCATCCTGGTTCTCCACGGGGAGCCAGCTCGGGGCCCCTCCTCCAGGAGACCTCCTCCCGTTTCTTTCCCAGGCCTCCTTTTTGGGCTCTACATACTCCGGGTGCACATCTCTAGCGTTGCCCTTTACAGGCCTTGTCCCGTCACACACACCACCTACCGCTCGCGCTGTGGTGAGCTCGAGACCTGGGAGCAAGCAAGAAGGGTGCTATGCCCGCTGTGGTTGCCCTCCGTGGGTTCCCGCAGAGTCTGGCCTTGCTGTGTGGGGCGTTCTCCCATCCCTCTGTTCCTTCCTTCCAGGGAGAGCTCCTGAGCCCCTGCCTAGGCCCACCCAGAGGGCGACCAGAGGACAGCTGTTGGGGACAGAGAGTGGCTCAGTGCAAGTGGGCGGCTCCCTGTTGGCCAAAGTTCGTGATGTAGGGGTTCTGGGGCGCGGGGGAGACAAAGGAAGGCCCATTCTCGGGGCAGCGAGGAACCTTTTTGGCGGTAGTTTTTTTTTTTTTTTTTTAATTTGCAGACAGCTTGGGCTTTTAGCAAAGTTCTCATACAGATAACTTTCTCTTGAGCCATTTGCCGGTAAGTTGGTGGCTGCATGCCCTGCACCCAAATGAGGCGCATGTTGCCTGCACCCAAATGAGGCGCATGTTGCCTGCAGACAAGGGCGTTTGCCCCTGTGAGGGCGGCTCAGCCATCAGAATCCAGCGTGGGTAGCAATAGGTAACCCGAGGTTTCTGGTCATCCTGCTGCTCCCTTGTTTCCCTTCAGCCTTGCTCTGCCTTTCTTGATTTTTGTGACCTTGACACTGCGGAAGGTCACGGACTCTTCGTTGTAGCGTGTGCCCCCTTGGGGTTGTGGAGGAACCCAGGCGCTGCTCTGTGATCAGATTCAGGCCTTCGCCTGCGGGGAGGGCCCGTGCTGCGCCTGTCCTTTTCCTTGGACCCCAGCAGGTGGCCCAAGAGTTAGATTTGTCTCATTGCTGGGACGCTGAGTTTAATTTCTCGGGGAAGATGGATTTGGCCAGACTTCGCCACTGCCTGACTGTGTTCCGCCCGCCCATAACACGAGTCTTCAGGCACTTTGACCTGCGTCAGTCCCTGTCTCCCATCCGATCGCCCTTCCCTCCTCCCTCCTCCGCTCTCTCCCTCATCCCCTTCCCTCCTCCTTCCTTTTTTACTTTCTTCCCATCCCAGTTGGGACTGTGTTTCCTGTTTTATTCCATGGGCACGATATGTGACTGTCTTCATTTATCTCAGGCGCAGTCACCTCCGGGCTGGCCGGTGGGACCTGCCCGGGCCACTGTCCGGCCCCTTCCGCACCTCCTGGCCCTTGCTGACCTCTGACCCAAGATGTTCCAGGTTCTCCTCCTGTTTGCCTTTGTCCCAGCTTGGGAACTGGCTGTTTCTCCCACGAGTACTGCTTGCTTGGTAGTGGAGGGGGCCACCAAGGTTGGTTGAGGGGTGCTCAGGGCTCCTGGGGTTCCAGGCCCTCTCGGTGTCATGCCGGGAATGGGTGTATATGTGTCTGAGTGTGCACACACGGATGTGTCTGTAACATGTGTCCACACATATCACGAGTATGCTTGTCTCTCATTCATATCAGTGCTGCCAAATAGAAATATAATGTGGCTGTATCTATCTTTAAAAATTTGGGGGCCAAGTGTGGTGACTCATACCTGTAATTTCAGCTACTTGGGAGGCTGAGGCAGGAGGATCACAAGTTTGAGGGCAACTGAGCAACTGAGATCCTTTTGTGAAGTTAAAAAACAAATAAAAAGGGGCCAGGGCTGTAGCTCAGTGGTAGAACACTTGCCTGGCATGTGTGAGGGCCTGAGCTCAATTCTCATTGCTGCCAAAAAAGAAAAAAAATTCTAGTGGTCATATTTAAAAAGTAAAAATATATAATACTGATTTTTATTTAACCAATGGAGTCTCAAGTCTCAAAGTGGTGAAAATCAGATTTTTTTTTTTTTTTGGAGACAGG